ACGCCAGTTTGACGTCTTTGATCTCACAACGTGTGCTGACTTTTGTGCTGCAGGAGATGGATCGGTTTCGCCTACGAAGGTTCAAACAAGTTTGCTTTTCGCTTTGAGCCCCGACGGCTGCCCGATGACCCTTCCGAAATTAGCCAGTAACCTACGAAGGGTCGTCCCGCCGCCCTGTACAAACTATATACTGCTAGAAGCTTTATAATACACGTATTGTCAGTATACAGCCCCAGACAGTACAATTTCGGCCCCAGAGAATCTTCGAGCAGCAAAGGGTCTTCCGCTTTCCCGCCGACCTGCTGCTTCGTCTCCACCGTGTTCACTTCTCAGCTAACACATCCAATGACAACCTGAGCCGCTCGACTCATAGCACCCTTTTTCGCAGAGGTTATTCCACATGCCGCACCTTTGTGCCCTTTGTGCATAAAAACATCGCTCTAAGAGGGGCGAGGGCGGCTTGGAACCGCCCTGCTACTCGAAGTCGCGCGTGAACACGAGTAGACAGGCGAGATAGTAGGTAATATTAATATGCGAGATGCGCTTGATCGATTAGGCCTTGAGGTCTCGAGGATACGGAAACGGTCCTGTTTTATGTAAACGAGCATCCAGTTTAACACCGTCGACGAGGCATGGCAAACAAGTGGAAGTGTACGTGGGAACGATCGGCACTGAGCGCTGAGGCGGGACCGACGGCGCTCTGGCTGCAACGGCGCATGCCCGGATAGGGAAGGTGTCGTTCGGTCTTTTACACAACCCGGATCATCTGATAACGATGGTGTCGTCGTGGCCGGCGCTACCGTCTCCGCCAGACCATGAATGCTCATGCGAAAGCTTTCGTTGACGACTCCATGACATGGACTTGCCAATGCACCGACGGCCTGCAAGGACATTCTCGCATGGCTTGATACTGTAGGCCTGGACCTCAGACGTGGCAACAGAGCATATCCTTATGTCAAAGTTTACCACAATTTCGGATGACTCAGAGCTGCGTAAGCTGACATGTAATCTCAGACTATAAAAGCTGCTGACTGTTGCGTTGCAAGGACGGGTCGGCTTCGATCGGGAGAGTCCATCAGCGAAGGGCGCTACCTTGACTTCAATGTTGAGCCTTATAGGTTTCCGCTGGATGACCCGTAGGAGTTTCGCTCCAACCTCCCTGGAGCGTCGCCGTGGCACCACGCCGCGCACTTCTCACACATTCCTAGGAAGAGATTTTCAATGCGTTCGTTGCTGAAAATGTATGGGCTAACAGTATCTTTGCCTGCGCTACCAGGACTGCACCCGACCTTTAGATGACCGGCGACCGATGAGGAGTCGGCTCTTGCTTGCAAGGTGCCCAAACATGGAATTTTCGTACCCTCGTTATTCTCAGCCTCATTATTCGGGCATAACCGAGCGTGTACTTAGTATACGGAAAACCCTCTATATGCGCATGAGGCTCGCATACTTCGCATATGTGCGAGCATGTACTTACTCAGCACCGCTATGGATAGTCATCTCGCGAATGAGCGTATTGGAAATGACCTACTTCTTCCAGGCATCAGGAGCAGCTTTGAATCTGTATAGCGGGTAGTAGGTTGAGACTCTGAAACCGTATAAGCGATACAGAGACAGATACACCCCTGAAAGAGATTTGTTAGCGTTGTCGTGATTGATCTTGATCTATTTCGCGACGCTAAGAGCATCACCGGTGGCCATGGTTGTCTAGAGCGCAGAAGCTGAAATTTAAAAAGAACAGGTGATGGGTGAAATGGAAAAGGGGAAGGCTTCGCGCACTTCAGGGGAGTGATGCCCTTATGTAAGGCTTCCAGCACAAGATGATACGTGAACGAAAGCCCTCAAATTGCGCTTAGTGCGGAGTGATCAACGTGAGCCAATGGCATTTGTGGTCCAGGCCTGGACATGATGGCGTCAGCTGTAACTGGGTAGGATGGTACTGGTCATGTATATTATTGACAAGCGTTAGCTTCTGGGCCCGCTGTATCGCAAGTCGTGGTACTGCGATACTATGCAAATCCGAGTTTGCAGGGAGAATTCTTGCTCACCGGGACTTCGTACAATGTAAGCGCCTCGGCGATGGCTTGAATCGGTAATCGGCAATCACCGCGCCACAAAGAAATTGGCAATTCCACCAATAGCAAGTTTTCTCTCATGACAACGAAAGACCATATGACTTTCACAGTCGGTAGTCAACACACAGTTCACGTTAACGTATGGGTCTCTATGCTATGCTTACCAATTCTCACGAGGGCTGAGACTCGCGCTCATTGTCCAGAGTTCGACCATCCGAATCAAGTGAGTCGTCGCTTTTGCAAAAAAGGAAAAGAAAGAAAAGGCTCGGTTATCGCCCCCGATAGCTATCTAACATTCAAACTCTCTCTGTTGGCACACAGCTTTCAAGTGAACCTTTGCAGTGCCGTTGATTTCGGCTGCAGAAAGCGATGCCGTATATGAGATCGATCATCAACATCGTGTATGATAGGTAGACCCACATCCTTGCCGACACCGGCTCCAGACAAGAACCACAACGCGGCGTGCATCGCCGAGTAAGGCGGTGCTGAGTTAAGCACTGTTTTGTCCTCCCCATTGATTGTTCCCAGAACGATGAACCTTCTGTCGCCTAGCAGACGCGCAACTGACCTTTGGAAGATGCGAAGGCAACGCTTGGGTACCATGCAATTTATTCAGCTGTATTTATACCTGTCTGATAATCCTCACAGGTTGCGATGAGAACGACTCGGCTCTTTCGCCTGTCGTGCGCGCAATCGCTAACAGGTGGGGGCTGTTGCACGGCGCTCGGTTATCAGTCACATGGAGATGAAGCCTCCGCGAGTATCGCCACCGTTTTTTCTACAGACTGCCTACGGCTGGAAAAACGCGGGTCCGTACGCGAAGAGTTAACTTCCGTTTGAAAACGGATCTCATCGTTGGATTATTCCTTGGTGCGATGGCGAGCAGATACGTCATGTCACCGCCTGCCGTGTGCAGCCACTCGCTTTAAACTCAAGATAAGCAAGCGCCTTAAGCGCTTTAAGTAACTTTGGCTGTGCGAACCTAATACATACTGCGGCACCATGATACTGTCAGGCGACGTACCAACTAACAGACCGCTGACGTACGGTAACATGGGTATATGTGCCAGGTATATGTGGCCGTCAATAAACCGTGCACTCCCGAAGCCTATCCGCATACACTCTCCGCGTCTCCCGCCACATGTCGCCCCACTGCAGCATCTCCTCTCTGTACAGCCCTCCGTTCTCCGTCGCCGCCTTGCGCACGCGCTCCTCGATCCGGTCGAGCGGCACGTCCTTCCAGCTGTGCGAGATGAACGGCTTGGTGAGAGTGTAATGTATGATGCGCATCTCGCCCTGGAGGCTGTCCCACACCTCTGGCGCGCGCCGTTTGATGGCGATGTTCCCGTTGTACGCGAGCGGCAGGCGCAGGGCGTCGGTTGCAAAGTACTGATTCAAGAACGCCTGCTCGGCGTACTCGGGCGGGTACCGTGCGATGTTGAGGGCCGCGCGCAGGGAGTCGAAGACCCTGCTGTCCGGCCGGAGAAGAGGACGCCGGCGTTGAAGGCGAGCGTGAAGCCGCTGTCGAGCCAGACGTCGGGCACCGCCGCGAAATTATACGGCAGAGAGAAGAGCTCGTCGAAGTTGTGCAGGACGAGGGTGTCGCTGTCGATGTATACCAGGCTGGTGATTGGTTCGGACAGCGTGTCGAGCGACCAAAGTCTGAGTTTCGTGTACTGGTCTATGAAGTGCTGGTTCATGCCGCGGCCGTCTGCAGGTGGCGGAATGCGTTCGATGGGGTGGGCGACAAAGCCGGAGGATGTAGCGAGACACAGGGCCTTTGGGGACACCTTCGATGGGAGGTAGAGGAGGACGAGACGGGCAGAGGTATTCACCCTGCGCAGGGAGTGGCCAAGTGTTGCAACAGCAGGGGCGTAAGAGTCGGAGAAGATAGTGGTAACGATCGCCGCGCCGCGCCAGGCATCTTCGGACGGAGGTGGTACTGCTGATGTGTTGAGAAACGGGGCATTTTTTCTGAGAGGCTGATTTAGTGGGACATAAGGACGACGAAAGACTAAACTCACAGCTGCTGATAGTCGTTCAACGGCGAAGGTGGGGCGTGTGTAATTCTGAGCAGGTAGACGAGGTTCAAGACGACGGATATGACGAATGTGCTGGCAAGTACAATGTGAAAAAGGCCGGGCTTTTGCGGCTGAGAACCTTCCAGCGGTTCAAGTAAGATGTAAGAGCGGTGTCTAGGAAGGCAACGAGAGAGGCCTAGGGGCATGGTTGGAATATCTAGTAGGAAAGCAAAAGGCAAGAAGATTACTCGATATCAATTTCCTCGACCTTTATATTTTAGGATTTATTTTGATAGGCCAGACACGCAACTTCTGTGGTAACTTTGGCGCTGCCACCGAAGTGGAGCGCTAACGGCATCTCGGAGGCTGACAGTCGTCTGATCGCATAGCAGCTGGGGGGAGGGGGGGCATTTCGTGGAAGCATGTGACGCGTGGGCCTAGCTCGCTCGCAGAATCCCGACTCTTCGGCATTTACAAGGCGCATATATGCCCGCAGTGGCTTACACATGCCATGAACTATGGAGATGAATTACGCTGCAATTAATGAAGAGAGCTCCACTTGGACTGAACACACCTTATCGGCGGTCGCTACAGGTTCACGTAAAATATCTGCGCAGCAAAGACGTATGCGTGATTAATACGCAGCTGCAAGATGGAATTTCTACAATCCGGATCATGTGGGCAGACTCGCATGGTAGCACTCAGAACCTGTCCGACTCACCAGGAGGTGTGGTAATCCCATCAAGAACCGCGGCCGGCTGCGGACCCCCCCAACTCTGGTGGCTTGGAGTAGGCGCGGGCCGCTACCGAGAGCCACCGAGGGTAGGACGGTCCCGGCGGTGCTCGAACGCGCACGAAGCGGGGCTCGACACTGCACAATCGTCCTGGTGCTTCCGTTATCGGACGTAGGGGACGAAGTGCTGCGTCGGGTGATCGAGAAGTGTCCCGCAAGCCGCTGATGAGTGAGGGGGTGTCGTCATAGCGTGAGCACGTTCTCTCTGAAGCGCTCTGTCCTGGTTGCATTCTTTCGTGTCCGGCTCAGAAAGCTGCGCAATGAGGACGTGGCAGTGCCGGGCAGAATGCGGCATCTGAATTGCCGACTTCTTTGTGGCACGGTGATTGCCGCGATCTTGAAGGCATGTGGACAACGCCGTGCTGCGCCGCGCTAGAAGTTCGGTGTCCGCAACTTCAGTACCACCGTGTTGAGCGCGCGGGATGCGTCGAGATCTCGCCCTTTGGGAGACATTGACACCTTCAAGTTAGCTATTCATTTCCCAGTCGGCTGGTACCAACGTGGCTACTGCAGGGTATATTCCACTTGACGAAGATCACCCGTACGCGATGCATCACAGGCGCTCACTTTGGCTATGGTCTACTGCGCGGGATATCGCTTCCGGTGGGGGTAGAGGGTACGGTGCCTAAGACGATTTCGGGTGAGGTAATTCCGAGTCGATATCACTGTCGTTCTCACCTGCCCTCGTTGATCGACTATCCATCCCGCCACGCACATACCGATGAACCTGGAAAACTCGGCGCTGGGCCGTACAAGGTTTGCTCCTCATTTGCTTGGCATTAAACATGCACGAGCCCGCAGGACAGGATCTCATGACCCACTCTCCGCATCTGAATCAAGGATGGAGTATACATAAGCCGTTCTACTACGACGCGTGACTTTGATAGTTGATAGCTGGGCATGGGCGAAGCACGGTAGCCTCAGTCCAGATCGGAGAACACTCACTCCACCGCTCGCTTCTCCCAAGCGTACAAGTGCCAAATCCCCACAATTCTCCCCTTGGGCCCCTGCTCACCTTTCTCGGGTATCTGACATGTCCGTCCCATACGACCTCGTTCGCATGACCACTGAAATTCGCTTCCGACAACAATCACGCAATCGGGGCGCCCTGCACTGGCGATTCCATTCCCCACGCCGGCTGCGGCGGCGCCTCTGATAGCCCAATAGCCTCGCACCGACTAATCATGTCTGTTGCCTGTCTCGATCTCGGCTGCGGTGTGAAGCTGGTGATCATAGACGCTCAGATGTATTTGGCCTTACGTGACGCCGGTGTGATTCGGCGGGAGCAGTATGCGATACAAGCCAGCCTGGCCACGATGATCCGAACAGTGTAAAGAAGAGGCCGTTACAAGAAGAGCATTACGCTTGCACATGTTTACCGTGAGCAAGTGGTATCGCGACCTGTATGTAGTGTGTGAGCATTTCAAGGACAGCTAGAGTCGCCGGTAAACATACCATTCATGTACCAACCCTTGTAAATGTGAGAAAACGGCTCCCGAGTAATTTACGAGCCAAGGTCACTGGCGGTAAGAGATGAGAGTGCACCTATCTACTGGTTCATTAGTATGGGCAAGAATTCTTGAGTCGAAGCAGGAAGGCGTGCGTTCAGGAGTATGCTGGTTTCGCTCCCTAGTCCGAAGACCCGAGAGCTTCTTATCTCGAGGACCGCGGGAAGACATGCGCAGGACAACCATAGTCGCCATCCCTCGAGGACACTTACCCTCCGAGTTTTTGCTCGGAGTCACCATTGGGCGTTTGTAAGCTCTGCAGAGGTGTCCTGACATCTTGAGCTGTGTGGGTCATCGTCCCGCCAAGGGCTAATATGCACGATGAGTAGGCATCAGCGTCGGCTGCCGAGCGAAGAGATAGAGAAAGGCGACGCACAGGAGGCTGTGGGAGAATCAAGTGGAGCGGAACTGCGGAAGAAGGAACTGCGGGGCCTTGATTTATACGCTCCGCACGGAGGTTGACAAAAAAGTCATGTTGGTTATTTATTGGACGGGAATCAGCGGGATAACGTCCGGGCTGCTGTCAGTGACGCCGGAGCTCAAGAAAGCTGGAGCGTCGAGCGACGTGGCTGACTAAGGGTATAATTAGCGAAAAATATGGAGGAACGAGAGTGGCCGCATTCGTTCTGATGGTCAGTAGCCTGATAAATGACGCAGTAAGAATGAACTTGGAGGACGAGTTGGGCTGGAATGACAATATAATTAGCTCAGAGCATCAGCACATAAAAATTAGAGAGCTGACGTTCCTATATATCGTTGGCTGGCCCAGGGCTACGTACAGTAGAGGGAACTGCATCTCTCCGGAGAACAGGATGGATCGCCGGACGGTAGCGACGACCCTGATCCAAAACTTGCGTGATCGTGGTGGGGGCGTAACACTAGCCGGCGCAAGGCGAGAGAGATAAATATGATAGAGGCAGATCGATATGGAGCTCCCGGGGTAGGGTAAGGTAAGTAAGTGGCAACCAATGGTTGTCATGGTTGTACCAGAGCGCTACACTGTAAGCGCCTTAACATGTACTCAAATTGGCAATCGGCAATCACCGCGCCACAATGAATTTGGGTATTTTATTGCGATAGCTCTCATGATGTTGCGACTCAGACGACAGCCTGGCCGTGGGGACCAAATTTTGGATTCTAAATGCCTCAGCCTAGCAGTTAAGGCGTGAGTCGTGCTGATATTTGGTGTTTCGAGGTAGTGACGCCCACGCTGCACTTCCCAGTCGCCGAGGACCGAGCCTCGGGGGTTGAAGGCAGCCAGGGCCAGGCTCATGCTCGACATTTAAAGTTCGAATGTCATACTGGCTATCAGGTGAGTCTCCGGACTTTTATATAAGATTTGGATGCCGCTTGAACACCGCGCATCAGCCCTGGCGGGTCTGCCACTTTAGAGTCTCTCCTGCGATCAGGCAGCATTCGGGAGAGGGCTGTCGTAATGCTGCTAACGCGGGTAACGGAAAGTGGTGCAACCCCAAATGCTAGCATCTTGCATGATAGGCTGCTGCGCATTTACGCAAACGTTATTCCTAGAAAAGAATCGCAGATTGCCATATGATCATCTGACGACGGGCAGTTGTGCCTTCCATTGCATTGATTATTCCCACACCAATAATTTTTCCGTCGCAAGTCCGACGAGTAGATGATATTCAGATATGATGCGATTTATTTGCTGGGCTAATGTCCGTTCAAAGTTTACAGGCGCGATGAGATCAATCCAGCTCTTTCGCACGTTTCTCGCGCAGCCGCTGACAAGTGGAGGTTGTTACATCGTGCCCGGCTTGTGATCAGAAGGAGATGCGCACATCACGGACGTCGCAATCTGTGTGCCTGGAAACAGTTCACAGGCGAGACAAGCCGAGACGGCACGCAGAGACAGAGTTTGGATTTAGAAAATAAATTATTTCGTCCGATCATTATCTGCTCCTGTTTCTCTTTCGTACTTCTTTTTGCTGTTGGGAAAATACCCAACTTTGACGTCTATTGTTTACAACTGTGTGCTGCCAACATAGAAAACGAACACTCCAAGTGGAACGAGTGATATTGGCTGTGCGAAATTGAAATTCATCACAATACCCGCGGAATCATGATACTGTTGGAGGACGCACAGACCGCAGACGTACCGCAATATGGATATATGCGCGCCCGTCAGCGAATTATGCATTCTCGAAGCCTATCAGCATACACCCTCCGTGTCTCCCGCCACATGTCGCCCCACTGCAGCACCTCTTCCCTGTACACCCCTCTGAGCTCCTCTGCTGCGGCTCGCACGCGCTCCTCGAGGCGGTCGAGTGGCATGCCCTTGCCATCACTCGAAAGGAACGGCTTGATCATGGTGTAATGTATGATGCGCATCTCGCCCTGGAGGCTGTCCCATACATTGGGCGTGCGTTCCTTGATGACAAGGTTCCCGTTGTATGCGAGTGGTAGGCGCAGGACGTCGGTCGCGAAGTACTGATTCAAAAACGCCTGCTCGGCCCATCCGGGTGGATACCGTGCAATCTCCAGCGCCGCAAGCATAGAGTTAAAGAGCCTGCTGTCCGGCCGGAGGAAGAGTACGCCGGCGTTGAATTCGAGCGTGAAGCCGCGCTGGCCAAGCCAGACATCTGGCGCTGCCGCGAAGGTGTATGGAAGAGAGAAGAGTTCGTCGAAGTTATGGAGGACGAGAGTATCGCTGTCGACGTATACCAGGCTGGTAATTGGGTCAGGCAGCACGTCAAGTGACCAGAGTCTGAGCTTCGTGTACTGGTCAGCGTACTGCTCGTGCATGCCGTGGCTGTGTGTGGGTGGAGGGATGCGCTCAACGGGATAGGCGACAAATCCAGAGGACGTAGCTATGCACAGGGCCTCTGTAGACACCTTGGATGGGATATAGAGGAGGACTAAACGAGCGGAGGTATGTACCAGGCGTAGTGAGTGGCCGAGCGTCGCCACGGCAGGAGCGTAAGAATCGGAGTATAGGGTGGTGACGACAGCGGCGCTGCGCCAAAAATCTTCGGACAGAGACGGTATGGTAGACTCGTTGAGGAGTGGGTATAATTTTCTGGAAACATGCTGTGGTCAGAGGGGAGGGCAACGAGTAACTGTACTCACAGTTGCTGGTAATCATCGAGCGGCGCTGGCGGGGAGTGTGTGCTTCTAACGAAATGAACGATGTTGAGGACAACAGAAGCGATGAATAGGCCGGCAAGGACAACATAAGCGAGGCAGGACACGTGAACGTGACGGGACGTTCGTCTCTGTGGTAGAGAATCCCCGAGCGGTTCAAGCAGGATATAGGAATGATATCTAGAAAAGCACCTAGAGAAGAACATGGTTGGGACGCTGGATGGAAGGACAAAAAGGAGAGAAGAATGCTGCACGTCTCATCTTACCTCTCATTGACCATCATATTTCACGACTTATCTTAATCGATCGGACGCCGAGCTGTTGTCGTGGCTCTGGCGTCTTTGATGAATGGGCGGCCATAACGGTACACGTGCTTCGAAGTTCCTATTGCAAAGATGACGCCTCGTTAACGGACTGGCGGCTCATGCTCCTAATTCTATCATTCCTTGTACATGCGTGATCATACGCAGAAGAAGAGGCGTTTCGTTACACCATGTGACGCGCAGCCCTAGGTCGCTCGCGGAATACCAGTTTCTGGACATCGTGGCAGCGTCAATATTCTCACGACGGTCTACGTACGCCATGAACCGTCGTGATGGACTGCGCAGTAGTACAGAAACTCTGCTTGAACCGGACGCACACCTCATTAGCATCCGCTGCGCGTTCAACATAGAAATTATAAGACCGACGTGGACACGACCAACTCACTAAGAGGCATAATAACTTGGTGAGGAGCCCCGGAGGGGATCGCGACTTGCCACGAACCTGCCGAAGCTTGACTGGTTCGGGCAGATGCTCTGGCAATGATAGCGCGGTCCCGAGGGTATCCAAGCGCGCAGGAAAGTGAGGCTTGGCATTGCACAGCCGTTCCGGCGTACGGAACGGAGCGCTACGTCGGCTGATGAGCAGACGGTTTCGAAAGCTATCGACGAATGATCGAGTGTTATCATAGCGTGAGCGCGTCTGCTGTGGATTAGTTTGCTTTGATCACATTCCATAGCGTCCTTTATCCCATTTCTAGCAGCTGATCAATTTATTCCTTGAATGACGGCCAGCACGCTTAATCAGAGACACTTACAGTAGTACTAGTCTCAAGAGCAACCGCGCGCCGGGATTACGTTCGTGGAGGAGCCCAGCAAACAATTGAATAGTCGGTCATTGCCATCAGATGATATGGCTATTGGTAATCTCAGTCGCTGTCTCGGAGTGCTGCGCAGTTCAGCGAGGCGGCGCCGGAGAAATATGGCTTCTTTGTGGCACGGTAATCCCCGTGAAGCCACATGGACGACGCTGCGCTTGTGCCCGCTCAATATCTCCAACTTCGGCAGGCTACAGTTTTGTACCTTTGCATCCTTTACGACCATGTTTTGAAGGAATAAGTTCTAGGTGCGTTGAAGCTTCAGATAATTCTGTGCTCTACAAACGCTTAATTTTTCCCTAATTAAGTACACATGCGCACGCAATTAAATATGACCAACTAGGGAGCAATGGTACGTGCTCGGTTGCGCTGTGATGTTCCGCTAGACTCAACAGGAGCTAGGTCATTGTGAAACATCAGAAACTGTTCCGAGTTCGTGATTATATGTCGTACGATGATGGGCAGCGAGGCCGGCGAAGCCAATGAGGCGGTCTCTTGTGCCGCGTCGGCGTGCGTGCTTAAGTCGGTGATCGGCAATCACCGCGCCACGAAGAAATTGGCAATTTTACTACACTAGCGATTAAGTCTCATGATACTACGACAACAGCCCGATTGTATGACCAGCTTTCGGATTTTGAAAAATTTCACGGATGACTTATAATGCATGAGTCGTGCTAAACTCTTGTATTCTGAAGATGGCGACGCTATGTGCCAGATCGC